ACTAGTTTTTTCCAGGACTGTATAGCAGGAATGATAGACCCAAAATCCCTTCCAGAAAGGCTTTGGACTCAGGGTCTTGCTGCCGGGGTTCAAATSCCAGCTCAGCTTCTTACTATMTGGGGCCTTGRGCAGTTTCTCAGTTTCTGAGAGTCTGGCTGTTTTCAGCTACAGATGTAGGTCTCAGTGCTTAGCTCATGATGCTGCTGTGGACATTACAAAGTAGTAGTAAGTGTCAAGCAAGGTTCTCAGTACACATTGTAGGTCCCCCATAAATATCAATGATGGTTTTAGTTCTTTTTTTTTCTTTTTTTTTACATACGTGACAATAGTGGAATGCATTACATTCGACACACACAAAGATAGAACTACAAATACATGTATGAAGGTGTAGTTCTATCCTTTTGTGTCTCCTAGAGCAGACATTTCAACCCATGGTCCCAGTGATGGGACTCACATCCTTCAGCTCGGGGAGCCCTCTGCAGAATGGCTTGTATGTCGTGAAGATCCCTCTGTGGCTTTTAAGATGAGACAAGCCTCTGGCCCCTATGGGATCCTTCTGCTGATGGTCTTCTCTGCCCCGGGGGCTGAAGTCCCTATCCCGAAGGGGCAGCTATTGGGCCAGGGAAAAACCAATAGAATGCCAAAGGAGCCTGGGAAGTCCTGCTCTGCTGCACTGAGGCAGATACGGCCGCTGTAGTAAGGGAGGCTCTGGAGTAGCAGAGCCCCTCCCAGGCATGGGGCATGCTGTGGCGGAAACCAATTTCCCTACTCTAGGGCTCACTCTGGGCTGGGCCTTGGAGAAGAGAGCTGGTCCCAGCCTTTTGCAGTGTCTTAGACTTCAGGCCTCTTTCCACAAATCCAGTAAGCGGGCCTTGACTCCAGCCCCAGTCCTGATTCAACTGGACCTTGAGAACTTCTTTCTGAGGGCATCTGACCACAGGAAAGAGCTTCTGTGCCACCATGTGTCACCTGCCTGAGCTCTGGGGGCCCCTCCTGCCTCCTGGCCCACTGTCCCTTACCGAACCCAGCTCCATAATCAGCAGTGCCTTGGTCCCACGCCAAGTGCTCCAGCTGCTGCAGGTCTGGAGGGGGCTGAGAGTAAGGTCCCCCCAGGGCTGGCACGCTTGTTGCCATGGTAGCAGTTGCCTTGGAATCCGCTTCCCATACTTCAGCTTCTGAATGGTCCAGGAAAGCTGCCTGTCCCCCCAGGGACCAGTGAATTAATCACACTCTTTTCCAGGGTTCTCAGCCCTCAAGGAAAACAAACAGAACCAAACCAAGCTGGGGCCTGTTTGCCGGCTCTTCCTCCCCACCCTCACCCCACACTGAGTCTTGGTGCTTCTGAGAAAGGAAGAGCACAGGCAGACCCCCTCCAGCCCCTGCCTCKCCAGAAGACACAGAGATCTTGAGGTGGAACCTAGCAACGTGCCCATGGCCTAACCTCACCCTGAGTTCTGCGGCTCCAGGAGGACACAGGCTCCTTCCAGGAGAGCTCTTCCAGGGAGGCAGAGGGAACCCATGGGGCTTGGGTTCTGGGTGTCCCTGGGCTCTCGCCCATCTCAGCATTGCCCCTTGAACTCATTTACCTAATACTACAAGCACATCACCCAGGGACAATTTCCTTTTTCAGGGATTACATAACCCGTATTGAGGAAAGAATTGGCAAGCCTCCCCCTCTACATTGGTAACTGGTTCGGGAACCCTTAATGATGTTCTCTTGTCGAGGGGAGAATGCATTTCCTGACTGGTTCGTTTGACCACAGTGTCTCCCTCTGATGGAGGGTGCTACGGTTTGGATATTGTATGAGTGTGTTCTCCAAAGGTTCATGAGTCAGAAGCTTGGTCCTCCATGTGTCAGTGTTAGGAGGTGACAGAACCTTTCAGAAATGGGGCCTGTGCATAGTAATTAGTTCACTGGGGTGCTGCCCTCAGAAGGGACTGATGCTGGTCTTGTGAGAGTGGGTTGTTATAAAAGAGTAAGCCTGGCCTCTCCCTGCTCTCTGGTTTCTTGTCTCACCAGGTGATCTCACACTCTCACACATGTTCCTACCACTGTGATGCCATCCCACATGAGGTCCTCACCATGGATGGGGCCACCCAATCTTGGACTTCCAGCCTCCAGAACTGGGAGCTAAATAAACCACTTTTCTTTATAAATTTGTCAGCCTTGGGTATTTTATTATAGTAACAGAAAATGGACTAATACAATGGGTTTGCTAATTCCTCCTACCTCAAGTAAAACAATACGGAATTTTAGGAGACAGACAGGCTAGAAGACTTCTCCACTAAGCAAGAATCTGGGCACACAGGTTCTTGCTTAGTGGAGAAGACTCTGGGGCAACTCTTCTGCCTCACCATGTCTCAGTTTCCCAATTCATTCCATAATGGATCTGGGATGGCTTTGTGGTTTGGTGAACCTATAACTGAAAATGGCTTCCGATGTCTTTYCTCCTCCCTTGACTCTTTCTGGGCCATGAGGGATTTAGAATGTCAAAGAACTCTTAAATTTGAATTTGGTTTTCAGTGTTTGAAGGTCAGAATGTCGTGGCATCTGAAACTTGCAATGCCTGGCCCTAGCCTCTGCACCCCCAGATGAGGCCATCTTTCAGTGGATGAGGTGCAGTGGCTGGCCTAGACGCCCAGTGTACGGCAGAAAGCATGGCCTCAGAGGCTCTGTCTTGCTGATGTGGGAGAGCCTCCGTCCTTAGACCACAGAGGGGCCAGTGCAGGCCCTGCCTGGCCCAGAGTGGTGCAAACACTTAAGGGGAGTGGGGGCTGGGGCACTGTGGAGGGAGCTCAGATTCCCAGAGCATGGCCTCTTGGGAACATTTTTCACGGACACTTATTTTGGCAGCTCCTCCTGAAACTAGTCAGTGGGGGATCAATACATGTGACAGAGACATGAGCTGTCATTTGTTGCCTAATTCGAGGAATAATCAGACCTCGACCTGGAAGGAGGCACAGGGCAGCCATGGCTGGTGAACACCTGGCTCAAGGGGCTTCCTCTTTATGGGAGCCTGATGGCGCACCTATGATTTGCAGTCGCTCTCCAGCTGCCTGGCAGTGTCACCCACTCCACTCCAAAGAAAGATGGTTGGTAGAGTCGGAGGTTACCTGGTTCTCAGAGTCCTTCTCTTGGTAGACCCAAGGTGGTCACATGGGCACAAGCCCTCCCCCTGAACTCTGTCCTATGTCCAGATGCCAAATCCAGGTCCCTCTAGCCATGGCGTTCTGTGGAACTCACTTCTGAGCTTGCCCTTGGTGGTTSACCCTGTAGACAGAACAAAGACAGAGAGCAGGCCCCTGAGGTGGGGCTCTGGGACAGTGGTGGGCAGCCCACTGACCCAGGTTTGGTCAGAAAGGTTGCATGAAGTGGGGTCAACTGTGCAGGTCCCACTGGACAAGGAGGGGTTTTCCAGACGGCAAAGACCAGGCAGACACTCAGAGCAAGAGGGCAGGACAGGAGCCGGGACGGCGGGGAGTGGGCAGCTGTGGAGGCAGATCTTGAGCATGACCCAGACTGCAGACATGATAGGGAGAGAGGGACAAAAAGAGGCCAATGGGGCTAGTGACAGGACCCTAAGCAGAATGGGTGGGACCCTGGGAACTGCCCATGTGGGGACCTGAGCCAGGCCCTATTCTGTGATGGCAGAGTACCTGAGCCATAAAGTGCGACAGAGAATGCAATGAACAAGGAAGGCTGGAACTAGGGGCCAGGGCTCAGGGCTCAGCTGGGTTGGGCTGGTTACTACCTCATGCTCAGGTGGGCGCACCCTACAAGGCAGCCAATCAGGCAGGRTGCAGAGCTCAGCCCAGGAGGGCTGAGGACACCAGCCAGGCCCCAGCCTCTGCTCCAGTCCCACTGATATCCAACCCCCACCCTCAATTCATCTTCCCACCCTACCCCGTACCCACCATTGCACAGATACCAGCCATTGCTCTTCCCTGTCAGCTCCCAGCTGGGAAGCTGGGGACAGATGACAGGCTCACCCTCTCATCCCACTGGCAACTAAAAAGGGGGTGGGTACCAAGAGTACCCAAGGAAAAGGGGATTCCTTAAGGCCAATCCTCAACCTGGGACCCCTCAACCCTGCCAAGGAGTCTAGAGGTTGACAAGAGGGGGAAGGGGAAGGGTGTAGGGAGGGCAGAGAGTGGACTCGGAGGGCCACCTCCCCCTCTCTTCTTCCATCCCACTCACAGTTCCTGCCTCTTGAGCCTCGTCCAACTCTCCCTCCATGTCTCTGTCTCTGGGCCTCCAAGCAGAGGCCTCAGGTGCCCCTCCAGGACAAAGGGCAGAGGACAACAGAATGAGACTGGAGCATGTGTTCAGGGAGTCTCCTCACAGCCCTGGCTTCTGAATCCCATGTGAAGCCATCKGCTCATTCTTCCTGCTCTGGAACCAACAGTGGAATCTGGGCTGACTGCCCACTGGGCCTCTGGGACCCAGGCAGCAGCTCACATTGCAACCTCATGAATAACCCAGCACCTCCCAGCTGCCTACACCTCAGARGAACCCATGTCCCCGGGACCAGCCCCCACCCCTGCCTCTCATTGCTTTAAACTTTAATAGGCCCAGKCTGGGTGGCAATTGAGCAGGCACCAGGGAGCCAGGGGAGGATGTCCTGACGGGGAGAGTTTGGACTGAGCTCTCCCAGGACTCAGATGGAGGCTGGCAGAGGAGGATCCCATGGGTCAGGCCCAACTCACTAGAACTCTGGCAGTTAATGGGGAAACGTGGCAAGGCGGAAGTCCCAAGAGTGGCCTTCAGGTCATAAGACCTTCAGTGGAGTAAGAGTAAGTTGGGGTTCATAAGTCAACGTGTAGCTAGGGGGCCTCTGACAAGCTGTAGAATAGGGTTGCAGATAAATCTAAGGATTACCAGCCCAGACCCTTACTGCCTTGCAAACTCCCACACTGTAGGTAGAGCTCCAACCAGTGGAAAGCCAAGAGGACAGAGACCCTGCAGGACCAGCCGGAGACAGTGCCCTGGGTAGGCCTACATGGACATCCCCATCAGCAGCAGAGACTTCCACTGCCTGCAGCTGGCCTGTGTGGCCCTGGGTCTGGTGGCCGGCAGCATCATCATCGGAGTCTCGGTGTCCAAGGCTGCGGCTGCCGTGGGCGGCATCTTTCTCGGTGCTGCTGGGCTGGGTGAGCAGGAGCTAGACAGGGGTCAGGGAAAGAAATTCTGTGGGGACCAGGAGTCTGGTCAGRTGATTGAGAAATGGCGGGGAGAGCTGGGTCAGGGGGAGTTGGTGGGGGGGAATGAGAGCTAGAGGTGTGAGCAAGGCAGCCCTTAGGGGTGCAGGGAGGAGAAGGGGGTCGAGGCAGGGCTCGACCTGTTGGCAGTGAGGAGACTGGAATGAAGAGGTTGACTGTCACAATCCCTTCTGGTTGTCCCCGGCTCTGCAGCTCTGGGCCCCACTTCATGAGTTTGTGGTGGGGTTTGTCAGCATGTTTGTGGTAGATTGATGGGGCCTGGCAAAACAGCATGGCTCAGTTGAATAGTTTCCTTTTCTTTCCCTGTTTGTCTCAGCAGCAGCTCTGTCCACCTGTCTGTCTGGGGCAGGCCCACTGACATCTCCACAGTGATGYTGAGTCCCATCTCTCATCCTCTCACTACCTTGAGCTAAAAACAGAAGCTGGAACCCTAGGCTGGGGGCTCTGGGCATTCATAGCTGCAAATTCAAGCATAGCACTTGGTCAGGGGAGGGAGTGGGAGTGGGCAGGGCAGAATCTGCTCTGCTACTACCCCTCCAGGTCTGGGTGGGGAGGAGCATGCAGAGGAGCCCCCATGGTCACTCCTGGGGGCCCGAGGGAAGGGTGAGGAGAGTTGGTGGTGTCGGTGTCAGTCGGCCCAGTTCCAGCCAGCTGAGAAGAGAGGAAGGTAACGACTCTTCACCTGGGCACAGTAGAGCCAGAGTCTGTGGCTTTCACAGCCTATGACCCCTTCACATAGGCACGGTCCCTTCAACCCAGGCAAGGTGTTGGGGAGCAGCCCCACGCATACTCTCACCAGCTCCATTTATACACCCATAGTCCCAACACTGTGCRCTTGGCCTCCTCCTGCATTCACCCAATCGCTCTCAAAAACCAGCCCCCAGGCTCACAGCCCACCCACATCTTCCCGCACCTCACACTAGCCAGGCCCCCTCCCCATCCCAGAACACTCTGTGTCTCTCTTCTCAGGGCTCCTCATCTTTGCCTACCCCTTCCTGAAGGCTCGGTTCAACCTGGAKCGCATCCTGCCTACAATAGGTGAGTCCCCTCCCCCTTCCCTGCAGACCGCTCTGCCAAGGACTGTGGAGACCCTTTGTGTATAAGTCTGTGATCAATGGGGAGGTGGAGCAAGCCCATGTATAAGACTGCTCCTGACTGTGTTGGAGTTGCTGTGTGTGTGGTACAGGCGTCGCCATGACTACAGTGTAGCAGGCTACAGCCTGCTGCCTGKCGCAAAGGTGTCTGAACCTAGGGAGTCCATCTTCCTTGAGAGGTTTTTCTATTCCCCCAAAGCCTCCAAGATCTCTAGAAAACCCCCTCACACCCGCAAGAACCCTCTGTCTCCCCTCAGGGTCTCTGAATAGCCCCCACCATGTCTCAGCAACTCACAGACACCCAACTCCTCAGCCCTGTGGGGCCTTACGTAGCTCTGATTCTCCCTAGGACCCCCATCTCCTTAAAACATCTGACACCTCCTTTAAAAACTCACTTCTTCCACCCTTACTCAAATCAATCCAGATTATGTGAGAGACTAAAGGAATGCAGTGGAGCAGAGAGCAGCAGGGCTGGACATTAGACAGCAGGAAGAACTTTCCTTCGGAACCTGAGCTTGATTTGATGTGGGAATGGCTAACTAACCAGAGGAACTGGGGTGGTCTTATCTTTTAGAGAGCCTGAGAATCCACCCCAACCCAGGATCAGACCAAGGAGAGGGAAGATCTGGTACCAATGGAAATAAGGAAGGTGAGTTTCTAAAATTCTGGAGTCCATCTTTCATCTTCCCTCTCTGGCCTGGCTTTGGAGCGCAGGGAGAACCTTGAGAGGCATACAGAGGGGCCTCCCCATCCAGGGAGGCAACAGTTAGGTGTTCTTCCACGTGTGCAGTCAACCCCTTCTTGTTCCAAGGTGAGCTGATCTCTTCTTGTTGGTCCTCAGAACTTCTCTGTACTRCCCGGCCTGGACACTGGCACAGAGGACCCCTCACTGCCCCTCCCCCTCCCTAGGTCCCACACCCTAGTTTTCCCACTTTCTTCTCCATGGTGGAATCTGACTCTCAGAGTTGATACCTGAAACCGCATATCTTCCAATTCCCATTCTCGTCCCTCCCACACTGGAAAATCCCAGGGCAGGAGTGTCTCAAAGTGGCCCCAGCCTGCCGTCTATGCCACCAGGGCCAGGATGCCTTGTACTGACTCAGCAGAAGGTCCCATGCCGGACGTTGTCAAAGCACTCTGTGTGATAACTTGTTGYATTCTCACAAGAACCTTGTGAGGGAGCTACTCTGTGAGCTTCATTTTATATGTGGGACCACTGCGGCACAGGGAGAATAAGTGGCATGTCCAAGATCACACAGTCAGGAAGTGATAGAGCCAGAACTCAAGCCAGGTTCGTGCTCCGGAGCCCTGCCTTTCCCACATCAGGCTGCCGTCTTCTTGATGGGTTGTCCTGTCCTCTCTGGGCAAAACGGGGCCTCTCCTCTCTCCCCATCTATCCCAGCTCTGCTCTGGGGTCACCAAGCACTCCAATCCCAGGTTCCTTTGGGTTCCTCTGACCCCAACAGTTCTATGGGGATGTGTTCTCAGGCAGCTCCTGTCCTGGTCTCTCCTCCAGGAGCCCGCAGCAGCCTGTCCACTGTGACCAGGACGCTGGAGAAGCTGAAACCAGGAAGCCGTGGGACCGAGGAGGGCTAGGCAAGGGCCACCCCACTTCCTGACTATTACCCTATCTCAGAGCCCTCCTGGGTCCAACTTAGAAGATCCAAACCAGAAATGAACCAGGCTCTGGAGATGCCAGACCAACATTTGCCTCGGACCCAGACTCTTCAGAACAGATGCCACTGGTGTCACATTGCCCCATGGGACTCCCTTGTTTCAGCCACTTAACCTGACATTTCTCTCAGGACTGCAACTCTGCTTTGTTCCCTTTTTGATCTACTGACTGGTTTCTCTAGAATCTGGAGACTGGGTCCCTGACTACACCCAGAGATGCCTCAGGTCCTTGCTTCATCCTGACCACAGAAGCTGACCGTGAGACCACAGGAAACACAGATTGGGAGCCCAGCTAAGCCCCTCAGCCTCCGCAGCCCAGGTGGGAGGAATGGGCCCAGATTCCTTTCAGAACATCAAGCTCCTGGTCAGTTCCTCAGGGACAGGCTCTGAGCAGCAGTTAGTCAGAGAGGGCCATATCCCCTGGTCCCTAGAGGACACAGACTCACAGAAGGACAGACCCATTGAGGGCTTTGTATACTCTGGCTCTAGATAAGCCTCTAGCTGTCCCTTTTCTCCCCTGTCACTGCTCCCTAAACAGGACCTATGTTTACCTCCAAGCATGGGCTTGTCTTTGGAGTGCTCCTTGCTCCTTCTGCCTATGAAAACTCCCCTCCTTTAAAGGCCCAGCTCAGAGAACCAATGCCCTTCTCATCCTCTTCCATCAGCCTGTGTCCCTCTCTTGACAACTCCAGGAAGGCTCAAAGTCTTCTTTTTCACGAAATAACCATTAAGCCTACTGCCCTTTTTCAAGTCTCTAGCACAAGACAAAGCACACAGTAGGTGTTCGACAAATGTTAGTGGCTTAAATTTAATGGGAAAACAACTCCCAAGACTTCCCTGGAGAGCCATGTCAGGGCCCCATCTACCTGGGCAAGGAGACCAAGGTGCACGTAGCCAGGTAAAAGATACCATCTTCCCTCCACACCTGCACCAACTGCATTCTTTGAACTCATGTGCCCTCTGTTCTTGTTTGGGAAGCAGGAGACAAGCTAGGAACATTCTTAGAAGCCTCCTCTGGTGTCCCTGTGCTTCCATAGCACCAGGGTTCCCTCCAGCACAGCGGAGGTTCTGGTTTTCAGTGGCTCTGGGCTGTTTCTCCCCCTTGAAAGTGAGAGCAGAGAGCTAGGAACACAGAAGACACCCAGTGCATGTTGGAAAACCAAACCAAAGTGGAAAAACCCATCTCACTACACAGATGGGAAAATTGAGGGCATACAGGAAAAGGGACTTGGGGAGTCCCTCAGGGAAAGTCGTGGAGCCAGACCTTGCATCCAGGTCTTCTGTCTCTGCAGCTGAGGCTACATCCTCTATACAGGTGCAGGACTTAACTCCCTGACCACAGAGGACAACCTCCATAAAGGGGCTGACTTTCACCCAAATTCTGGCTAGTTGTGAAGAGTTTGTTCCCCCAGACTGAAGGAAGTCAGCTTCCTCTCTCCTTGAATTTCCCCCCTCTCCACCTCCCTTCTGCCTGCTCCCTGCATTTCTCCTTTTCCTCAACATTAACAATAACTCAGGCGCCTCCTTGATCAATGAGAAAACCCTTCTCCCTATCAATCTTCAATTCTCACTTCAGTGCCCCAAAGAGATGCCCAAGGGTGGAGATGGTCCAACTAGGGAAGGCAGAGCCTGAACTTTGGGAAGGATGACCCCACCCCACCAACTCCTCTCAGCCAAGATCTCTCCAATGTCAGCTATGGAATCCCTGATTCCTGGCAGGGCCAGGCACAGAGAGGTTCTGGGGATCAGGATGGGATAAATTAAGGAATGAACATATGAAAAGGCAAAAACTGTATTCCAGCACCATGGTGCACTCCTATAATCCCAACTACTGAAGAAGCTGAGGTAGGAGGATCACAAGTTCAAGAGCATCCTGGGCAATTTAGGGAGACGCTATCTCAAAACTAAAATAAAAAGAGCTGGAGATGTAGCTCAGAGGTAGAATACTGTTGTGGGYGGGATGGGGCAGGGAAGGCAAGGGTTATGTCCACTGGGGAAGAAACTGGTAAAGGTTCAAAGGACTCATGCATCAGGGTGGGGGTTCTCAAGGTCCAGCCTCCGGTTCCTCTCTTTCCTCAGCTGTGGGCTTCCTGAAACCTGCTTTCCTGCAGGTGAATGTCCCCAAGTGTGTCTCCACCTGGCGTCTCCCAACCCCATCACTGCAGTGGTCCATGTAAGACACCTGCCTTCTCTTCCCTTACACACTTTGAAAAATGGGGAGGTGAGCCAACCCGGCAGGCAGGGCTGGTATGGTAGGTAGTATCAGGGGGACATGCCTTTCCCATCTGACCAGCAACAGCACCCTTCAGTGTTTCAGCATGGGGGCCCTTGCTCTTCCAGCAGTCTGTTCAGTCAAGGAAATTGGTTTTTCCCAACAGCCCTATTCTGACACTTGGTTATGGCTGTGCCCTGCCACTGCTGTCCTGGGCCGGGCAGTGAGAACACAGCAGTGAACTAAAGGTAGAGAGTGCTTGGTCCATCATCTTTGATGGACCAATTTGGAGGAGGAATGTTCCAATTTAGGGAGTAGAGGATGAAAATAAGACTGACGTCTTAGTCTTCTCCCCCATCCTTACCCCACCCCACACCACCCCCATGCCCATGGAGCTGAGCCGGTCTCCTCATCTGCAAATGGAGGAGAGTTGCAGCAGCCCCTCACAGGACCACCGCCCTCAGAGAAAGTTTGCCTGGCCCCTCGTCACATCAGGTGGGGCTTGGCAGTGCATAAGCGGATGTGTGAAGGGGAAGGTGGGCAAGATGCCCTCCCAGCTGAGCTACTTCAGGGTCTGGAAGGTCAGCAGCTCCGACTCCCATCCAGGCCTTGCTGCAATAGTCCAGCCTGGAGCTTGGCCCTGTGCCCAGCACACCCTCCCCATCTGTCGTGGGGATAGTGGCATAAATTCCACCAGGATTGGTCCCACGGAAACCTCTGGCCTTTTACATTTTGAGAAAAGGCCACTCCATAGGGGCTCGTGGCAACACCCCCTTTCTAGGGGGCAAGACTGGTGACGGACAAAGGGGTGCTGAAAACAAGCTCCATCCCTGGAAAACTCTCCCCACCCCACAACGCTGGGCCCCCCAGGCAGTTAGAGGCTGAAGGCAGGGCCACCGCCACCGGCATGGGGAGCACTGGACCCCGCCCGGCTCTGGGAAGTGCCCCGCGCCGTGGGGGCGGCGGGAGCTTGCAAACCGCGAACCTGGAGGAGCGAAGCCGAGAAGGACGAGAAGGACGGCGCCGCGCAAGTGGCGGGGGGTGCTCGGGGGAACGCGGCTCGCCCCTGGGCTGCGGGGCGGAGGTCAGCTGCCCACGCTCTGCGAGGGGCCGCGGGTGGTGGCAGGTGGTTGGGAGCCCCGCTCAGCCGGCTCCCGCTCCGCCGCCAGCCCGGCCCGCGCGCCGCTCCTCCCACCTGTCGCCGCCGCGGCTGCTCCGCGGGAGCCGGCTGAGCCCGGCTGCGCGTGTCGCGAGGAGCCCTGGGCCCAGTGTGCCYACCCACCCGGAGCCCCTCTCCCAGCCTCGCTGCTGGACTCTCACAGCTTGACGGGTGGGTGGACACCCCGCCGCGACCCCCGCCTGGCACTCCACCCAGSGCCTCGAAGAAGTCTGCAGGCAGCGCCCCGACTGACCGCAAGCGCTTCCTGGCCACCCTGCGCTCAGGGGTCAGCCCAATCAGACTACAGGGCAGTGTCCAGACACCGACTCAGGTGAGTGAGGGCTGCAGGAGTTGGGGAAAGCTGGAGGGAGGGCGAGGGAGGGGGGAAGGGAAGGGGCGGCTTTAAGAAAAGGGGGACATACTCTGTCCAGTYTTGAACTCCCAGGAGACAGGGGAAGCAGTGCCCAGACAAGGGGTCAGGAACACGTGGCCTTGAGAAAACAGATGTGAGAGGGACACAAGAAGGGAAGACACCATGAACTGGCTGCCTTGGACCCCCTCTGCACTATCCTTTTCCCTCCTGCTCTTAACTCTGTAGAGCTGCCTTAGAAGCCCCTTCCATCCCCCACATCCTCCCAAAGACCCAAAGTAGAGAGCAGTGAGCATCCTGCAACTTCAAACCAAGAGACAAGTGAAGCCAGGAAGGCAGAAGATGGTCATGGATGGCCTCCCTGAACAATGCCCGCTTTCCCCATGTATTTAACCAGTATTCACTGGGCACCTGGAGAGAGGCAGGCACCTCACTGGGGACACAATGACAAGCAAGGAAGGGAAGCCAGTTGGAGCAAGCCTACCTGGACACAGGAGTCACTTCAAGGGCCCTGGAGGGAGTCAAGAATCTGAGAACCATGAGTTGGCAAGTTAGGAAGCTGAAGGAAGGAAGGAAGGAAAGAAGGAGCATCCCAGCTACACTGGAAAACAGAACTGGGGTGGGCCAGCTGAAGATGAAGCCCAGGGCTTAGGCACTGGGGTCTGGGTGTCTACCATACCTGCTGAGTCAAGCTCACCATACCTGGTCAGTACAGCTCACCTGGTGAGCTCAGCTCCACAGGAGAAGAATCGAAGAGCCGCTTGAAGCTGAGTGTGGTGGCACATGACTGTAATCCCAGTGACTTGGGAAGTTGAGGCAGGATGATGGCAAGTTCCAGGCCAGCCTGGGAAACTTAGTGAGACCCTGTCTCAAAAATAAAATAAAAAGGTCTGGGGATGTAGCTCAGAGGTAGAGTGCCCTTAGATTTGATCCTCAGTACCAAAAAAAAAAAAAAAAAAAAAAAAAGCCACCCAGAAGAGTTATGGTTGGAGCAACTGCAGTGTAAGCCCAGGAGGGTATTATTGATGGAAGAGATGGAGATAGAGGGTGAGCAGGGATAGCAGTGAGTCCAGAGAGGAGGGGACGGACTCAGGGATACTTGGTGGGAGAATCTGCAGGATTCAGAGATGAGTTGGAAATGTGTGGAGAGAAGCCTATGGGAGAAGGAGGGGCCAGCACTG